ACACACACACACACACTATCTCTCTCTCAAACACAGGCATACACACACACACACACACACACACACACACACACACACACACACACACACACACACACACACACTTTTGTTGAGTAGTAGTATTATTTTTAGTAATAGAAACTTTTGGAGAATTATATAATAAATGTATCTTTTAGGGGAAAGTATGACATAAATGTCATTTTTTTTTAAAAATACCGTCAAACTATGTGCAATATATATTTTATATACATATGCCGTCTTTAATATATACCGGGCTGCTAAATCCTAAGAACTGCTACAGGACTTGATTTGAAGATTTGATTTGATTTTTGAAAATTATGTAACTTTTAATCTTTTTTTAGCATTATTGTTTATTACATTATAACTTAGTGCTTTTTTTCACGCATGTAAGATATGCAACAGTAAGCTGTCTGTGGCTCTTTCCTGCTGTAACGCTGCACATTTCCCCTCTGTGGGACTAATAAAGGTATTCTGATTCTGATATATATACATACAATATTGTAAATGACTCATAGCATGGAGCTGTAGTCAAGCAGTTAGATCCAGCAGGGGGCGCTATAATGGAAGTAAAGATGGTGGATATACTGTTTATTATGTTACCAGTAAATCGTAGCCATTAAATAAAAAAGGCATTTTCTAGTATGAAATAATTAAGACATTTAAATCACAACATTTGATTAATACAAAAAAATAAATGTAGGATGTGATTTATTTCAAACATTCAGATTTACTAGTTTATTTGAGTTAGAGATAACGCACTATGAGGTAGGCCCTCTTTGCCACATGTCAGTGGATATTAATGCAAACACACCATTCTTATCAATCATATCTCACATTTCACCTCAAAGTCAAAAAGTACATGTTTCCATCGTATCTATAGTGCTATTTACTCAAACGTAATGGGATGTGCTTCAATAGAAAGATAGTGTTTCCTACATGAAACTGTTCACAACATGTCTGTGGATTATCTTCAGTAACCGGGACATCTCTACGACTGATATCACCAACACACAACAGAAATATCTAAATGAAGAAATAGCACTACAGGTAACAGGAACATGTGTCTAGGGGTGAATTCTTCAATAAAAAAATTGGCTTTCCCACTTGGCCGTGTAGCATTAATATCCAACCCAAGACGTTACAGTATAAACTATAAGCATGAATAATTACAAAAATACTGGGCACATTCTTTTCCGCACGCTCAATATCAGCAAATAAAAAACACACGTAAAACCTAACATAGGCTTATAGTCAAAATGTCTTCTCATTCTGACGTTTTCAATTATTATTATTACGTGCTTTCAACCCCCGTTAAAAGGCTTAGAAACACAACAAGGTCCTTTAAACATATATCATGATATGTGAAACATTACAGATCGTCTTCTCGTCTATGGTACGTGTAGGCAGGGCTGTAGCAGTCAAAGCACCATCGCTCCCTGATCACTATCGTGGATCTGCTGCATGTCCTCCTCCTCCGCTGGTGACAAACCCCCCGTGAGGACGTACATCATCCCCCCCTCCTCCTCCTCCTCCTCCTGACCGCTGGCTTCTGGCTCCTCCAGTAAAACCCCTCTCAGTTCTACCTGCAGCTCTGAGGGAGCGGCCCCCGAGGGTTCTTCCTCATTCACGCCATCGTCCTCGTCCTCCTCCCCTTGCCTACTCTGCCGCTCCCTCATCAGCTGCTCGGTCAGCTCCACGCTCTCGTAGCGGATCAGTTGGAGCCGCAGGAAGCCGTCGTCGTGCTGCTTATACCTGGCAGGAAGAGGAAGAGATCATACGTTTGGTCAAAAAGATCCAAAATGCAGCATTCAGGGGTCTTTGTGTTAGTTATATCAATATTCCAATTACTTGTATATCGACTATCCTGCACTATTTCTATTATTGTTACGTGCCGCAGTTGGTGCTTGTGTGTGTCTCTCTCTCTCCCTCTGATTGGCTCCAGGTGCAGCCTCTCCCCAGGTGCTCCCAATCTCCAATCAGCGCCTCCATAAAGGACCTGAGGAAGGCTGCAGTCGTTCTCTCCTTCTCTCTCTGGCTGCATGTGAGCAGCTGTGTTACGTGCTGTCGTGTAGTGTCTCTGTGTGAGGCCTAGTTTAACCTGTGTACTGCTAATTGTTAGGAGATGTGCTCCAGTGTGTCTTTGTGTATTGTTTTACGTTAGTCACTTTCTTTTGAAAGAAAGTTGTCCTTAGTTAATTAAGTTTGTTTTGGAGTTTGGCTGGTGAGCCTCTTTACTTTTTCATGAATTAAAACCTCACTTTGTGGCTTCAGCATTCAGTTTCCTCTCGGCCGGTTATTTGTGTGTGTTGTTACTTCCCTTTGTACCCTTAGATTTAGAAGGGAACGTAACAATTATACTTGATTTACTTGCACTATTATCTGTTTTACTGTTGGAGGAGCCTGTGACCTAAGGTTTTCATTGTCCTAGCTATGAACACATGACAATAAAAGCCTTGAAGCTTGAATCTAGACTCACCTGAACCTTGGGTGTCCTGAGGGCCATTTGAACTGGTGCTTTTTGTGCAGGTGAACGGTCAGGTTGTTGCCTCGGGTGAAGCACTGATCGCACACATGGCACTTGTAGCGAGCGACGAAGTTCCCCTGATTACAGAGAGGAAACACACCAAGGTCATTTAAAGGTCACCTTTTATGCTAAATCTTTTCTACATCAACATGTGTCCCCTCTGTGGAAAGAGACTCTGAAAGTTTCAGGAACAAAGATTCTCTCTCTTTTTGTCCTGATCTGTTTCTATAAAAACCTGTCTGAAAATGAGCTGATCAGATTTTGGCCACTTTATGATGTCATAACGATGTTTGGCTTGTGTAACCATTAGCCAATCAGCAACCAAGGTAACCAAGGTCAGTAGAAGCCTTCCGAGTAAATCGTCAGAACGCCGACACCTCCTCATCACTCCACCGCTCCCATGTTTTTTTTTGCCATAAGTGATTCTCTCTCCGTTGGTGTGCTGGGCTAATGCTAATGCTAATAATGCTGATGCATGATTC